AGATGGCTGTGAGAGTGAGTCACCGAGTGTCTCATGTTAGTGCAGTGCCTGGCACAGGGCTGCGCCTGAAACTGTGCTGAAAGCACCTTGATTTCCATCTCAGTCTCCTTCAGCTTCGTACCCTGAGACTTCTGTGTCTGGGCCCCATCCTCCCTGCTCCGGGGTTCAGCCTCAGTCTCAGCGACTCTGACTCTGTCCCTAACTGCCCCTCGTTCCTCAGTCTCCTTTCCTTCTGTGTCCTCACAGGTAAAGCTCACACTGTCTTCTCCCAGGACCTGGATGAAGAATGGGCTTTTTGGTTGTCCCTACTGGGGAAGGGGACAGCAGCTGGCATGGGGTGTAAAACACCCTGCAGTACATGGGGCAGGGCTGAGCAGAAGAGCTCACCAGCCACCAGTCATCAACAGGCAGAGGGACGGTTCTGTGGCACTGTGGGCCTGATGGTGTCCTGGGTTGATCCCCAGCAGATTATGGAGAAATATCAGAAATGCAGAGGGTGAGAAACTCTGCCCTATGTTACTGTTCCTCAGACAGGGTCTCGGAATCTAGGCTGGACAGGGTCCTTCCTAGCTGCTCCTGAAATGGTCAGGGAGGCCCCAGAGTCACAGGTCTCCTCCCCCGCAGGTGCTGACATGGGGACCACAGCAGAAATCCTCTGGCTCTGTTTCCTGGGATGCATCATCCACACGGCCGCAGGTATCTTGAGTTCAGGGTGTGCGGTAGACTGTGTGCACCCGAAATGGGTCATCCTGCCCACCCATAGAGCCCCTGGGGGTCTGCATGGCCCCAGCATAGAAACACAGGTGTAGAGAAACAGCAACTGGATTCCGAGCCCTCCCTGCTACTTCTTACCTGGGCAAAAAATCCTTAATGTCTGTGTCCAGTTTCCCCACCTTCAACGGTACTCTGAAAGCAGGTTAGATAGCAGAGTATAAAAGCTGACCCTCCTCAGACTCTGGCCCAGAGGCGAGTGTCCAGATGGTAGTTGTAAACTGCACAGGGACAGCACTGTGCGTGGAACACCTGCCTCAACTGGCAGAGAAGTGTGGCAGCTTCTTTCCCTGTGGACGTCACCACTCCTAAGCCCCTGGGAAAGGTGGCGCTGCAGTCCACGCAGGGTAAGAAGTGTTCCCCAAGGGGCTGTTCTCTCTGCCTGGCTGTCCAGTCTGCATGTCCAGCAGACAGAATCCCGGGTGTGGTTACTACTGTCCTCTGCTTGGCACAGACGCTCCTCCTGGAGAATGGCTTTTGTGTGGTGACACTGGGTCTATGCCACTGGGGTGGTGGAGCACAGTGTGAAGCTTCAGGCTCAGGTGTCTGGCCTTGGAACTGTCCTGCTTGAGCCCCAGAGGTGGAGCCTCAGATCTTGCCCCTCCCTGGCACTCCTGATATCACCTGGGCCTTCCTAAGCAGACCCACCAGAGCCCTACTGGATACACTACTAGAACCATTACCGGATCCCATCCACCCACCCACTGCATCCACTCTGTGCTCATTCTGCCCACAGAAGAGTATTATCCCCAAGAAATCAGCAGTGAAGAGAGGCTCCGCCCTATCCGCAAACGCATCTCTGATACCAACACCTGCATTCCACACTCCCAGCCCTGGATGGCTGCACTGTTTGACGATTATGATCCATACTGCTCCGGAGTGCTGGTGCATCCGCAGTGGGTGCTGTCAGCTGCGCACTGCTGGAAACCGTGAGCAAATGCAGTAGAGGTTACTGCAGGGGGTGGGGGCGGTGTGCTGGACAGCGAGGGGTGGAGCATGTCTTCTCCTGGGCAGGCACTGTAGGCAGAGCTTAGGGTCTGACACTGCACTGCAGGGAGGGGCAGGGCCCAGGCTGCCTTTGAGCACAGAGGGCCCAGTCTTCCTTAGAGTGGTGTTCAATGCTGCAGAGGGGTAGGGTCAGGGAGTGAGCCCCAGCCCCAGAGGCTGGGCTTGGCCAGGGCTGAGACTTTAAAACACTAGGCCTGGAGCAAGGCTGGAGCTACTGTCAAAGGGTAGTCCTGGCTGGGAGATCCTCTTCCCCAGGCTGGAGGAACATTCACATCTGTGTGCTGGGTCTGAAGGATCCCACGTGTGGGAAGAGAAACCACGCAGGACCCTGAGGTTCTCCTGAGTCCCAAAGTTCTGAGAAGAAACTGGCTTGAGAGAGGTGGGCTTGGATCTCAGTTTAGCCTCTAGGAGCCAGGTGGTGTGGACAAGGGACCTCTTGTTTCCGGCTGCAAGGGGCCTGGGGCAAGGCGAGGAGACAGGTGAGGACAGAGCCAGGTGGATGAGGACTGAGGTATACACATGGCTGCAGGGCAGGGTACAGAGAAAGACAAGGCAAAATCTCCCCCATCGGGAAAAATATCTTAATGTCTTATTTTAAACAAACTAAGACAATGCAAACATCCGTGATGAACAAAATATCCACATTTGAAATAAACAGGATCCTGTGGGTGTGGGGTGAGGGTGAGGTGCACCTCAAATGCTGTCTCCCCTTCAATTTCTGATATGTTCTGCATTGTGGACTTTTTGCATTACTTTTGAAAGTAAAAATATTATACTGAGCACTATTGATCTTGCTTTTTGTACATTAGTGGCTCCCTCAATTAACACATTAGACAATGCTTCTGAGGCCCCAGCCGTAACAGTCAGGTTCTGGGGCTACTTGGGGTAGTGATTGGGATGGGAATGAGGCTGGCACCGGGGATGGGTCCAGGCAGGGTGCAGGGTGGTAACGGCAGTGGGGATGGGACTGAGACTGAGAATGAGTGGGGGGTGAGGCTAGGATTGGATTTCGCCTGCACTGGATTTTGGGCATCTAGGGAGGATGGACTTGCCATAGTTCTGACTATCCCATCACCCTCAGATCCTACACCATTGGGCTGGGCCTCCACGGACTTTATGATTGGTTTAAACAAGGCAGCCTGATTATCAAGGCCAGTACCTCCATAAAACATCCACTATACGTCGAACCTAAGAGGGGTAATGACCTCATGCTCATCAAGTTGAACAGACCAGTTGTGGTATCAGACACCATCCGGACCCTCCCCATCACGACCAGTTGTCCGATACCCAGGATCAGGTGCTTGATCTCTGGCTGGGGTCGGCTAGCGAATGGTGAGTTTTGCTGTTCCTGTCTCTGGACTCACTGATCCCTGTGGTGTCTCTGCCCAGGAGTGCTTCTGACCCGGTGTCCTTTCTTTCAGGCTACCACCCTTTGGATCTGCAGTGTGGGATTATTCCTGTGGTTTCGGAGCAGTATTGCAGATTCGTGCTTGACAAAAACTACCACGACAGTATATTCTGTGCTGGCGCTCACAGCCTCAGGGGCACTTGCCCGGTAGGAGACTGGGACAGGGAGGCAGGGGTTTAGCATGGAAGTGGGGTTTAATACCCACAAAGGGCAGAAGGTCATGCAGGAATGAGGGAGACTCAGAGGGACACAGGGAGGCACAGGTGCAAAGAGACAGACAGAGAAGGACCTGAGAGGTGAGAAGGAAACAGGAGACACAGGGTAAGGCACCACAGAGGCAGGCAGGGAGAGCCAGGGAGAAGTAAGCAACCAGCAGAGAGACGCAAGGTCATGATGTTGAGAGGAGGGATGGAGAGACGCCCGGGACAGAGTCCGGGAGGGTCCTGGGAGTAGGAACACAGCTGTAAGAATAGACTGGTTGACTGCATTCAGGATCCCAAGCCCCACTGCCTCGCACACCTCCATCATCAACTGCAATGGGTCCAGAGCCCACAAATTCCCACCCAGTCTCACCCTCCAATTCAAATGCAGCCAAGGCTGAAAAAGGAGATGCAGGCGGGGGTGGAGCTCCTCAGAGAACTTCCCAAGGGGTGGGAGGGGGAGTTAGTGTTTCAGAGGCAGGACTGTCTCTGCCTGCCTACAAGCTATGGCTTGAGTGCTTGAGTTTTTCATGGCAAATCCCTCCACTTTGGCCCTTGGGTCTCTGTGTTCTCACTGTCCTGGGGCCTCATCAGGGTCTCACTTTGTGTCCCCATCACCTCTGCCTTCTGTACCACATGTGTCTCTGGGCCTGCTGTCACTGTCTCCCCTGCTTGTGTTTCCAGCTCTCACTGCTGCCCTCCAGCTCCTGCACTGTGTGTTTCTGCCTTGGTCTCTTCCTCTGATTTGCCTCTTTGTGCTTCTGGCTTCCTGTGTGTGTCTCCCTCCTTCCTCCTCTCCACCCACCCTAACTTGCTCTTCTCTTCTCTCAAAAGGGAGACTCTGGAGGCCCTCTGATCTGCGGTGGGGTTCTTCAGGGCATTGTGTCTTGGGGAAACAGTCCCTGTGGCCAACCTGCACTTCCAGGATACTACACAAACCTCTGCAAATTCAACGAGTGGATAAAGAAAATTATCCGGACCAGATAACCACAGATGATACTGGAACTGAGTAGCCAACTCCGCCTTCTGAACCTGTCCTTAGGCTCCACCTGGCATAAACATCTATTTGACTTCAATGAATCTGCTTTACGAATATATAGAGATGAAATATGCCTCTTTTCTTGTTTAATTTTATTGAGACTGAAAGTGGAGTTTTCAAGTGTCAAACGGTGTTACTGGTTTGAAGAAGTTATTACATCCTTATGTTCCTGGGACATCTGCTACATGGTAGGGATACCAGTGTACTTGCCTCTCATTACCATGGCAAACAGCTGCCCAGGGACAAGTTCTGTGGCTGAAGCTGTGGAATTCAGAATGGCTGCAACGATGCCTCAGCGACCAGGGCAGATAGAACATACACTTCTCATTCCCAAACTCACCTGAATAACTAAGAATCTAGGGTTGAACAAGTGACAGGTAGTTATAGGGTTTGAGGAAGCTGAAGGGAGGGAGCATGGGGTAGACATGACCTGCAGGCATAAGCTGGGTCAGATCAGAGGAAGGGAGGCGTGAGGAAAATAAGGAGGGATGGGAGAAGTTGTACTAGAGGGAGCAGAACTGATGGCAAAGTAGAAGCAAAAACTTGAAAGAAGTAGAAGTGTCCTCACAGAGACATGTTAGGCAAGTACGAACAGAGCAGGGATGTGCGGTATGCAAAACGAACCATTCTGGGGCAATGAATATAACAATATATCCCAAAGTGTTATTCTTAAAAAATACAGTGACTTACAACAGAAAGAACACAGCTAAAGCATTAATAACTGGGGTGATGATGAAGGAGAGACAGTAGACAACAGAGAGGAGATGGGGAGGCAAATGAGGGTCAGGGGAGAGAAAGGGAAAGAAGGTGAAAAATTCCATACACACACACATGTGAAACGGCATGAATGCCAGTCTCTCAGCAACCTACTCCAAAGCCCCAGAATGCAGTGTTAAGTTGTCTATTGCCTTCTATATTCACACTTCTCATAAGGACTTGGTTTAGGGGCCACAACTGTTGGGTGATGAAGTATAGTGTACCTCGTTGGTCTGTGGTTGCATCCCGGAGAGAAACAGTGGTGGGTATGAGAAAAATAAAGACAGAGAAGAGCTGGGGTCAGGTGGAGTTACCTCTTGCCTGATGAGCAGGAGAACTGACTTCAACAGCAGGGGTGTTTATTTTATACACTT